TAATCCCCCTGTATAAGCTTTCATGATGCCAAAATTCAGTATGGATGGAGACTGAGAAATCCCCGAAATCCCAAAATGATTCTAATTGGAGTTATTGGGTAATCTCAATGGAAGCCTTGAAAACACCTATAAAAGATTTCGAGTCAAATCGAATTTTTATTGTTTCCTCAAAACCTGAGCTAGATACAAAAATCACACAGGGAATGAAAGAAGTTGTTATCTCAATAGTTTAATCTGATAAATATATGAAACTCAGAAAAACCAGTGGTGTACATACAATGACATTCACCATGAATATCGATAAATTTACCCACTTTGACAACACTGGAAATTATTTCGAATCTAATTGCACTAGAAGAAGCCCCATGTTACTATTAACAAGACCACAATGTTTTATCAAAATTGATGAAAATTCAATTGAGAAATGAATAAAAAGAAGATTTTTCATGGAAATATCAATACCCTGTATCTCGAAAACGAAGCAAGTTTATATGAACTTTATTTCCTAAAATATCACATGGAATTATCATTTGAATTTTTTCGGTGTTATTTAGATACACCCTGTATAGCGCCCAGAGAACAAGATCTTCCACATAGGTTACTCAGTTTTTGTAATGTTGTCAACCACTTCTCTAGGAGCTATGGAAAATTGTGAATATTTCGAAAATGATCACCTCTATAAGCGTTCAATACTGTCAATATGGCACAAAAATAGTATATCATGTAACAAGTGTTATAACCGTCCTTTTAGTAACGAGTGTTTTATAAACGAGTGTCTAGAAGAGTTTATAAAAGCGTTACATACTATGCTTTGTCTACGAACTCCGAAAATTTCATTGACATACCTGCTATTCCTGCTGACCTACAAAATAATTCGAGAGGATTGGGAATTAAGAACATAATACATGAAACTGCATGCAACCAGCAAGACACGTATAAATGATATTGGTTGTAGATGTGTCCAGTCCAATACTTACTAACCTCTGTTTCACGTTTTTGTCATGCTGAGCGCAGAATGAATAAATTGTTCTCAAAGATGGATACTTCATTTTTACACTTCTTGGAGATACGCAAGTACCAGAACATTCTCTTCGATTTCCATTTCGTCTACATTTCGCTTCTATTTTTAATGAAGAATTCTGATACAAACGAATATTGTTTGAATAATTCTGATTCTTGACAATAACAGTTAACAGTTAATACAATTGACAGGCCAGACATATGTCTCAAATTACTGAAGCCGTGTTTAATGAACTGCGTTGCCATGGTAATGTGTTTAAGAGATCGTGTTCCCATGGTAACGTGTTTAATATTTTGAATAAATCACAGATCGTCAATTCGTGATTAATCGATCATTAAGCGTGGTACATATCCGTACGCTAAATGCCATTTTAGTTATGTGAGTAGAAAAAAGGCCTCTATTTGGGAAAGGATATAAGGATCCATTTTAAATAACTTTCTTTATCGGATTCATAATCAGCACCTCCAAAAACCCCCCAGTTCATATTTTAAAGATCCCAAGAGCTAATAGTATATTATGTAACAAGTGTTATAAACGTCCTTTTAGTAACGAGTATTTTAATCACGAGCGGAGCAGAGCGGAGCGAGTGTTTAATAAACGAGTGCCTAGAAGAGTTTATAAACGCGTTACATACTATGCTTTTTCTACGAACACCGAAAATTACAGTAACATACCTGCTATTCCTGCTAACCCACAAAATAATTCTGAAGGAAGGGGAATTGAGAACATAATATGTACATGCAACTGCATGCAACCAGCGAGACACGTATATAAGTGATATTGGTTGTAGATGTGTCCAGTCCATTGCTTACTAACCTTTATTTCACGTTCACTGCCAAGCTTAGCACAGAATATATAAATTGTTCTCAAAGATGGATGCTTCATTTTAACACTTCTTGGAGATATGCAAGTACCAGAACATTCTCTTCGATTTCACTTTCGTCTACATTTTGCATATATTTTTAATGAAGAATTCTGATACAAACGAAAATTGTTAGAATAATAATTCTGATACAAAATTCGAAAATAACAGTTGACAGTTAATACAATTGACAGACCAGACATGTCTCAAATTACTGAAGCTGTGTTTAATGAACTGTGTTACCATGGTGATGTGTTTAAGAATTCGTGTTGCCATGGTAACGTGTTTAATATTTTGAATAAATCACAGATCGACAATCCGTGATTAATCGATCATTTAGCGTGGTACATATCCGTACGCTAAATGCCATTTTAGTTATGTGAGTAGAAAAAATAAAATATTTCAATATCCTGCCTTCCATGACAACATCCTTAAATCTCAGTTATCAACGATGCAATTTTCTTGAAATTTCGATGGTGATTATATGTTGAAAAAATAACATACAATCACCATCACAGTTCCGAGAAAATCTCATCATTAATAACTGAGATTTTTTGGGCGTAGTCATGAAAAGCGGGATTTTGCATTTTTCTTGAGATTTTGAAAATTTGAATTGGGGGGTTTCTGGGGATGCTGATTCTGAATCTCATAAAAACAGTTACTCAAAATAAGCCCTAATATCCTTTTTCCGAATAGTGGCATTTTTTGTACTCCTCAACATTGCACGCCAACGGTGATAATGAATGAATGAAACTGTTCACTCTGCTGAATACTTCATTGTTTTAACATACAACCACCACTAAAATTGCATGAGAATAGCATAATTAGTAACTGATATATCAGTGTGTATATTCATGGAAAGCGGGACACACTGTATAGAGAAAATCCCAAATAATCAAGTAAAATGGACCTCTAGCGTTGTTGAGGAAGTGTATACCATTTGAACTCAGGAAAGGTGTGGGGATGAGGTTTTTATCATGAAAAGTGCCAACATTTTACTATTAAATAAGTAAAAAAAATAAATGAATAATGACAACGCACGCAGCGTCCTCTAAACGCTATATACATGAATATTAATAAGGAATTATGATTTCCCATCTCGGAACAAACACAGATGCCAAATTTCGTGTGAAAATAGTAATTTTCCTAACAAGTGCGGAAAGACACTTTCCGCATGAGTTAGGAACAATATTTTTTCTACAAGCGTAGGAAATTGATTGAATCGTTCAATTAATTATTCAAGCAAATAGGAACAACTAACAAGAGATATATATTCTCTATCTATTAATCATTAGTAATAGCTATTGTGAACTTACATTTTGACGCATTATGTTGGTTCATTGCGGAAGCCAGCAGGCCCATTAGGAGTTTGGTCTCTAGGTTCCAGACACTTCTATGGAATGAGCCAAAAATACCTATTCTTCATTAGATATTTTCATTTCTTTATTGTTGCACCATTCAATTAAACGCGTGTATAGCTTCTCATAGCTTTCTTAAGACTTCGTTGGTGATATTAACGCATCTGTATCAAATCCCTATATATAGCTAGAAGTTTTTGATCACATTGTGGCATTTCCACTGAATCGAAAATGACAGTAACGCTGTGTCTGTCATTTCGACAATTTCAAACTTATCTGAGGTTTGATTGGTATGACAAATTGACGTTTCCTGTCAGATCAATCCAAATCTATAGGGGGATTTTTATAATAATCCATTTTTATTTCTCAATATTTCTTAATTTTTACAATAAATAGTGCAATTTGATTGATGATTCTGAACATACATACTTAATACTGCCACAAACAATCTTAAACTTTAATATTCCATATTCCATCACCAACCACTTATATTACTAGCGATTATATCATATCTTTGTTTTCCCGCACTGTTGCGGGTATAGGGTGAATCACGCACGCTTGTAGAAAATAGAAATTTACGTAACAAGTTCGGAAAATACTGTTTTTTGGCCGAGCCGTAGGCGAGTCCTGGAAGTCTGCGAGTCCAAAAATACTGTTTTTGGACATGTTGCGAGCACTACTTTTTTGGCAACCATGTAGAATAACAACTCAATGAGACACATTTCCATATTATATTCCTTTGTAGAATACAATTTCTTCTTTATGAATTCTCATTTGTATCAAATATTGAAATTTGAACAGAATACCTATACCTACTTATAACTGTTACATTGGAAATTTCGTATGGACATTTTCTAACTCACTATCGCAGCTGCTTTCGATAGTTTATTGTGATAATAGCTACCAAACTTTCAAGAATCAAAATGTCAACTAATTTCATGTCGAATAGCTCTCAGCCGATATTTCGCTGCTATGGTAATTTTCACTTATAATATCACGAGAGCTTGCTTCAATTATTTCCAGAAATTTTTTCGAGAACACGAATATTTTGAAAAATAAAAGAATTTTCTAAATATTCCTGTTCGAGAGAAAATTCTCGGATATTAATTAAAGCTAAAGTGGAACTCGGTAAGAAAATTTACATGTTGATGGTTGTTTGGATGAAATGTAAGAACTAACGTATAGTATTTTTGTAAATTTCAAATTTGCAAGTATACCTACATAATATTATATGGTGAACTGTTGATAAATGATTTTTATTTATTGACTCATAGAATGAACTCGAAATAATTTGAAGTTGAATGTAAATGTCATTTAACCTATAAACGTCAAAAAATTGCCAGTGTAATTTCATGCTCCGTCCACCAAGGAGGAGGAAAAAAATTCCGAGAAATTTTTTTAGTTGCTATGGTAACGATACGAAATACAGGCTTTGAATTGATCGGAAATGTTTGGTGTGGAATTTTCATCTGCATATATCTCCCAAGGTTTTCATAGTTACAGTGGCAACAACGATGTGATACTTTCCGTCCTAGTCCGGGAAGTACGTATTTCTCGGACTAGGCCGGAAAAATGCTACTTTCTCAAAGAAAAAGCGTCCGGGAAGTGACCGCTTTCCAGACAGTTGCCGAAAAACTTATTTTTCGCAAAAATAATTTTCTATAAACTTGAGAAAAATCAATTTCAACAGCCTATATCTCCTAAAAGAAGCATTTCCAGACACAGCTGTTTGGTGCTTTAGACATATCTTGATCATTTTAGACATTCGATCAGAGCCATCATGCAGATGCCGACAAGTTGGAGATGAGAACACGTGACCAGGTTCCTGTACACGTAAGCGAAGTTTTTTCGCCCAAAAACGTAAATGTCTGCATTCCTCAAGTTGATAGCGTTCCAGAAGAATTGTTCAGAAGGTGAATAAAACTCCTTCCTTATTTTTGATGAATACTTGAATAGTATGAAAGTGAACCTGACCGGTATGGAGAACAGATCAAGTTATTTTAGAAATCACCCTGTATGTTGAAAATGAAAGCTCCTGGTGTATCATCTCTTGCATTTTCCAGTAGCAACTTCAAAAGTCAAAAGCCGACAATTCATTCCTCTAAATTTTCATCCATATAAATGAAGTATTATACAGGGCTTTCATTTCGAAACTTATATTATATCTATTGAACACACACGATAAGAATTTGCATTCTCCCTCATAATATGAAGATATGCACATAATAACATTCTGAATATTCAACAGAAAACAACTTCTTTCCTGGCTATTTGCCACGTCGAACATTCAATTATATCTGTTGAACATCCGAAATAAGAGCATGAAAAATGTTCAGGATGGAAATGAAAATTGAAATGTATAAGAGACGTATACGTATAAATCTGATCTTCAGAAAGATATTCAAATTCTGATCGTGTGTGTTCAATAGATATAATTCAAATGTTCGTCGTGGTATATAGCCAGGAAAGTAGTTGTTTTCTGTTATAAACCGAGAAAGAATTGATATTTTCATCACATAGAGAATGCGAATTCTCAATGTATTTCTTTATACATGTGTACCCATTTTTTATATTCATATTTTTATCCGAGGATATTCCTTCTCAATACGTTCAGCCAATCGAGGGGTTCAAACTTGAACGATGGAAACTTGTTATTTTTATAGACCTCCAATCGCAGATTCGTGATAAGGTTTTCTCAATTCAGATTTTTTTTCCACGTCCTGTATGATGAATATCAATTCATCATTCATCCAAAAACAAATACTTTTTTTCACAAATGACATAAAAAGTGGATTTTTAATGACACTTAACAGGCAGAAGAGGTGTACTTTTACTGCCTAGGTAGATAACCCAAATAACATTATCAGTTTTATTGTTAGCTACAGGAGGTTGTTACAGCCTATTTTAAAATGCCTTTTTAAAACTATTATACTTTAATGATATCATTAAAACAATTAAACAACCTTCTTAAAACATAAAGGGCCCACCTTTATAAATGCTGTCACAGCTTCTCTTTAAGCTTGTCATAAAGCTAATAGGAATTTATTGTAGTCTGCCTCAAAGCAATAATAAAACCTATCAAAACTACTCCCTTTAAAGCCTTTTAGCCGAGCTTTTAGCACGAGTTCAAACCTGTATGTTTTAAAACGACAGTTCTTGTGCCAACATTAAAACTTATTGGCTAGAATTAAAACCTTATCAGTCGCAGTAAGCATTTGTTAAGATAATAAAGTCCGTAAGGTGTTTTATGATAGTCTTTTTTCAGAACTGATTATAATACAAACATGTCAAAATGGAGAGAGAACAATAGATAGTTATAAAAGAGATTAAACATGGCGGTATGATATGATAATTCCCTACTGTATCAAATAGTCCTTTTTGTGAAGATTGAGGCTGTAAAATGAAAACGATGACGACTTTTTTGACGAAAACATACCAGATATGCTTCAAAAAAAGCAGCGCCCTAGAAATAATGTGTTTTCACCAGTTAGAATTGGATGTGAATTTTAATAACTTTTCAAAAAAGTTGACAAAACTGTGTGAATGTTTGCTGAATATGGGTGAGTCGTTTGAAAAATGTGGAAAAACAACATTTTCGACGGCAGTATCAATGCATCTTTTCTATTTTCCGCTTGGAATTTTCATTTCCATCAATGGCCGACATCTGTTTGTAGTAAATATGGCGCAAAATATACTTAAAACCAATTTTTTTTCTCTAATGCTTGATTAAAACCTTTAGGTAATGATAAGGCATTTTATGAGACGATTTCCTCCTGTTGAAGTACTTATTGCATATTCGAATCCATTCTTATGACTATTTGCTCCTGGGTATGACAACAAAGCTTCGAAAATGATAAGATTGATTTAAGAAGGTTATAAGATGATGCCTTCATAAAACTATAAAGCTTTAAGAATATCCTGGCTAGTGCTCATTGGTTGGATTAACATAACCCCACTTTTGTTGTTCACAGTGTTCACTTTGTGAATTTTGTGATTGGTTTAAAGTAGTAAACCGAGTAGGAAACAAAGACAACCTACACTCAGTGCAATTCGCCTGATATTGTGTTGATCTGTTGATTGCTCCATTCTCTCAAATTCATGCTCTACTCGCCATCTGACATAATTTGTGCAAAACTGTTGTCAACTTCCTCGCTTCCTAGTTCCCATTCAGAAGCACGATGATCAGAAGTATTTTCCATTACGTTCTGACTCGTTGATGGTACTTCATGTATGTACATCAGGTCCTAATGAATTCTTGCTATTTGGTGGATTCAGGTGGTATGAATTGAAAGACGCAGTGTTTGGAATTGCTTGGGCTTGAGAATTCTGATTTACTGTTGCTCTCACGACTTGATTTTTGATTCTCAAGTAATTCTCTTCATTTTTTCGCTTGGAGTTGCCATTTCTCTCAATTTCACACTATTTATTTTCTTGTGAGTCCATTTCAACGTGAGTCGTTTGTAGGCAAAAAAATACGAACAATTATATTATGGGATTTGGGTTTAACACGGTTCAAGATAAAACTTCATAAATCCTATAGATTTTATGATTGACTTCGATGAATTCATTGTGGCTTATAGGTTTCAATAATTACTTTCACATAGCTAGAATAATGCCAATAGGTTTCATTATTGCCTCAGTCAAATCCTAATTGGCCTAGTGTAAATTTGGTTTTATGATTGCTTTATGACGTATTTTCATAGGATTAGTTCAGAACCTCTTGGTCAAATTCGAGACACTAATGAAACTTAAGAGTTTTAAGAGGGTTGTTAAGAGTAAATAGTTTTGATGAAGAATTTCAATGGCTCTCACAGAGCTCTCTTAAAACCGAAGTGAGCTGAATGCCAAATTGTTTTATGCGATAGTTCTATCATAGTATCTCAAAGCCTTTTAATAGGATTATATGGACATGAAGGCCAATATGCTTTTTCCAGGGCATTCATAAAACGGTAGAACAAATTAGACCTATCATTTGCGCTCACATAACCTCTTTAAAGTCTCATCGAAGCTATTAGGCATTTAAAATGTTACTTGGGAAAGTTTGTTGCTATGCAACGTTCCAAGTAATTCGAATCAAATTGGTAATCAAAATTGACAATGACTTCGGGTGAACAAAAAATGATTGATTATTTGGACTTTGCGTGAAATTGAAGAAAATTTGGAGACAAAATTATATTGTAATGATATTTCCCTTAGAGGGGCTTTAGAAATATCATCAGTAAGACAGGAGTACAACGATCATCCTGTATCACGCATCCCAGATTGTTCTCCAACCTCCCATAGATTCCTACATACACCAGCATATTTCCGAACACTCAATATATGCCGCAGTGACAAATAACGTCACAGAAGATTCTGGAATGTTCTGGAAACAATCGATGGAACAATTAGAGAGGGAGGTATTGTTCTAAGAAGCTTCTACATAGAACAAAAAGAAGGAGACGGAACATTCGAGAACGTTCTCGAACCAACGCCTGCCAAGGGATCTCATATATAAACGGCCGAACAACTGCCGTCAGTCAGTTAAGCAGCGAGTGTCAGAGAGACAGTTATATACCGCGTGATATAAATCGTTTTACATAAATAGTAGCTATAAGTTCGATATAAATTAGTGTTTCTTTAGTTTAAATAAATCAGTTCGAAAATAAATAGTGTCGTGTTCGCTTCTGCACCTGAATAACGTAACAATATGTTTCACATGGCAGAAAAGAAGATGACTGGCGTTTCATAGCCTAGACGTAGCCGAGGCTAGGAAACCAGCCAAGGCATCAAATCTTGTACTTTTCTGCCTAGTAAAACAAATAACTATTTTTTTCTGAAGATACACAGATACCGACTCTAGACCCCAAACCCCAGCACCGACTCTTGCCAGCGGTACTACCAGAGCTTCTGATGCCAGAAGGTGTTTCACGCCTGATCCCTTTCCCAGCAACGAGATCAGAGAAAAAACGCAACTCATTCTGGATTTGAGGCGGAGCCACAGTCAGGTTTGTCGAAACAAAGAAGACATTTTTTTCCTCAAAACGAGATCATTTTTCAATTTGAAACTAGACTGGTCAAAATTCGAAAAATCTTGATCAAGAATTTGAATCATTTAACTTCCGATTCTTATAATAGATTTCCAATTATTTTACAAGCCCAGTTCTAGTCTACTTAAAATCTGACAAGCTTCTATAATATCAGCGACAGTACGTTATACAGGATGTCTCTGAAAGGTCTTCACAAAAAACTACTACATATAGTCCTCAGACCAGAACGATTCGATACAAGCAAACTTATCTCAGTAGTTACATATTTCTAATCGTTTTTGCTTCATAACTTTGAAATGGCTCATGCATGAAATTCCACTTCAATTTCGTACATTTGCATTGCTTTATAGGGCAATAACACCCATACCATAATAATGATGAATTTCATTCCTTGGCCGTAAAACTTGATTTTTTCAGTGAATAAACATCTGAAACCTCTATGCCAATAGATTCGTGATAGAGTCTCAATTCAGAATTTCTTTCCACGCCCTGTATGATGAATGTCAATTTATCATACACCCAAAAGCAAGAAAGGACTTCAATTGTGTAACTTATTAACTATTCAAGTATAATACCAATGAAATCCTATTACTCCCATGGTTTCGACAAAATTTGAATTGCAGTTAATTAGAGTATCAGTCAACATTGAAACGATTTACAGATATTTCATAAACATTTTCAACATTTTCACGTATACAAAGATTTATACGACGAAAAAATTGAAATGTGGTATCAGGTATCTCTGTTGCTTTTTTGGTACTGAGTAAGCTATAGCCGTCTAGCGGCCAGACTGAGCATCAGTGTACTGAGGTGAGTTTGCTTGTATCCATTTTTTTCGTAGAATAAATCTCTGTGTAAGAGAAAATAATGAAAATTTTGGACAATTCTCATTAAATATCTGTTTATCGTTTTGATGTTGCTGATGCTTTAAATTACTAATTCAAATTTTGTCTTAACCATGATAGCAATCGAATACCTCAAGAGGACATCTTTTGTAGTAAACAAATTATAAGCAATCCGAAATTTATATTCCAACCCCTTTCTTTCCATTGGCGTAGGAGTTTTAGATGTTTATTTACTGAAAAAATCAAGTTATACACCCATAAAATGATATTCATTCCCTAATAGCACACTAAAGTCACATAAATGTCCATAGGACGTACCGCCGGTACATTCGGGACGTCCATGGGACATGCGTTCTTGGTACCGCGGAATCCATAGTACGTCCGTGGGAAATACAAATGCCCCGACTTCTCACCAAGAGAGGATATCCCTCAAGGATATACATTGGATCTCTTTGGGAAATCATCCAATGGACATCCTTTCAAAAAGTTCATTGAACATTCTGTTTTTGTACCGAGGTCATTCATAGGACATCCTCCGAAACGTCCTCTGGAACGTCCATGAGATGTCCTTCAGAACGATCATAGAACGTCCCTGGGACTTCCATAGGACGTCGTCTGAAATGTTCATAGGATGTCCCTGGACGTACAAATTGATCTTGACTTCCCTAGGACCAGAGCTCGCATAACAGATGAGAACATCCAGGTGAGTTGATGGTCCGTAGAAGGTCCTCAATAGATCCTGAAGAAGGTTTCCAAGGATGTTCAATGGACTTGCGTAAAGGACGTTGACGTGGAGTATTTATAGTCTACGAGCAGTCGATCGCCGGCGAGGTGTAAGAAAACGTCCTCGCAGTGACAACATATATCTCGCGTATCAACTGGGACATCCGTAAGACGTTATGCCTAGGACATTGAGAATTATCATTCGCTCGCGTGAAGCACATTTATATAGGATGTCTAACTGAAGTCCTGACACCAATGTATACCACCAATTGATGTGTCGTGGTACACATTCCGAATCGTATCCAGGACATTCTGAGGACGACCTTCTTGGGACGCCCAATTAGCTCCTTGTACTCATGACATCTTATGAAATGATATTTAACAGATCATGTTCCAATTCTGGGACATCCGACGGGTGTCCTCAAGGGATTTTTCGGGTGGTATACGATCCTAGGCGTCCGTACAAAGATATTTGAAGGAATGTACCGTCTGGGATATTTCATTGTTTTTCTAGAAGGGACATCATATAAGAACTGAAGTCATTCCAGAAAGTGTACTACTGGGGACATCCGATTGATGTTCCTAAAGGAATGTTCAAAATTATATCCCATCAGAGACATGCAAAGGACGTCTTGGCATGGACAGTCTACTATATGTACAACGTGAAACGTCTAAAGTATGCTATTTCTAGGACATTTGAAATGATGTGCCAGCTCGGACATTCCATGGACGTCCTTGCTCGGACATTGCATGAGACGTATGGGATGGGACGTCCCAAGGACAATTATTTTTGGTCCCAGACATTCGAACTTGTATCAAAAAAGGACGTCCCTAGGAGGTTGCGTGCTATTAGGGCTATAATCATTATACGGGTTTCATAGCCCAATAAATCTATGTCAACGTACCGAATTTGAGTGAAATCTCATGAGCCGTTTCCAACTTAAAAAACCAAAAACAATTTGAAAATAACTTTAACTTCAGAGCCACCTAGGTGAATTTGCTCTATTATAACTGTTTTGGTCCAAGGAATATGTGGTTAGTTTTTGTAAAAACTTTCTAGAGACACCCTGTGGATATGAAAATGAATGCACTTTCAGGAAAACCTTTCATGTCAAGAAAGCATACTCTTTGATCCACCAATTATTCGTATTCAACAAGTTTCAACAAGACCGCCGAGCTTGGAAGAATCGAAGGTAGAGAAATCAAAAATTTCGAAACCATTTTCGAATAAGGAAAGTAATTCCTCGAAGCGACCGGAAAGTGTGAAAAAAGTGGAAAATGTAAGTGTTTTCAAATAGCTTATCCTTCATTCTCATGAAAATTTACTCTTGTAGAACAATAGTACATTTGCGCTCGTGAGGGGGAATATTGAAAAAACGCTCGCACATCTCTGTTCCCCGAGGCATATAACCTCCAGAAATTCAAGAACACCAATTCTTGGTTCTCACGATGTTCTCTGAACATTACAGGATATCCCTTTTCGTGGGAACCATAACGAAAAAAAATCTTTTCTTGAAAACCCCCAATTATTTCATGATGAAAAATAGTGACAGTGAACTATCAAACACACCTCCTGATATAGCAGGAAGCGCAAAAGTTTGACTCTCTTACCGGAGAAATCAAGGAAGAAATATGAATAACAATATGAAACATTCATAAATTGGTGCCACTCCGAGAAGATGAATTAGTATTCAGAAAATGATTTACTGGCTTATTTTTGTGAAAAATCAAAGACTTTGAAGTCATCAACTCATTGGTCTATATATTCGATGGTAGGTATACATGCTTGAATGTTAAAAATAATATCGGAATCAATAAGTATCCGAAACTTATCGCATTTCTCAAGAAACAATCTATTGAATATAAAGCGGAAAAAATCCAAAGCATTCACCGCTGAAAATATATACCAACAAATTCTACAAGAAGCTCCCGATGAAAAGTATCTGTTAAAAAAGGAAAATTATACTTTATGTTCAAACTCTGTGTTATCATCAGAATGACAGTGTATCTTTATTTTATTGCATCAATGAGTAATGTTCAATTTGACTGCAGAGTTTATTGTACCATGGCTCAGACGTCTGAAGCTCAGGTTGCCACGCTGGTGGTTCGGTTTGAATTCTCGGTAGGCCCGACATTTTTTTTTCTGGCTTGTCAGTTATTTTAAGTTTTTTTTTGTTTGGACATAAGTATGGGATATTATGGATAAGAACTATTTCAATCGCTAATAATTTCAGGGCAGTTATTTCCAAAAACTGCGTTTGTAGAAAAAATCTTGTGTGTATTTCGAGCACAAAGTGTCGTTGCCGCTCTCCAAAGATTATCGCGCTCCGCTCCTCATCGCGCGGTAACTTTCTTTGTCGAGTGGCAATCTATCACTTTGCGCTCTAAATACACAAATAGCTATTTCTTCATACTTTCGAAATTTCCGAATTTTTGCAAAGTTTCCGGTATTACCCTGTAGCGATTTTATTTGAAAAGCCTCATATGTTTTGAAGACATAAGAGATTATAGATGAAGGACTGAGCTAGCGAACAGTGTGATCCGAATTCAAATCGTTCAAAGCAGATAAAAATTATTCAAATTTTGGGGTGCGACGAAATTAGTGTTACGTAGTTTATTAGGATAAAAAGTGACATTTTGTTCGACAAGCGAATTTTGCATTTGCGAAGAGGGGCGTGTTGTGAAGTACCTGATCGAGTTGAAACCCAGAGTGAAAACATTTATTACTTGCATATGATTATCATTCCTACAGTTTTATAGTGATATTTCGTTGCCTATTCATTTCTGACCTAATAAAGGACCCCGCACTTTTAGTACGTAAAATGGTTCTCGGTGAAATTTTCTGAATTTTCAGTATGTTGTAGAATTCGATGAACTGATTGAACCAGCAGAATCGTAAAGTTATTTGATGAACAGATTCTGAGATACAGGGCGTTGAAGTTACAAATCGGTATTTTTCATTTAATTATTTTCTCGAAATTCAAAGATGCAAATGAAACGTGGGAATGTGGAGATCAAGTGTAACATAAATGATCTATGAAGGCCCATCCATCAATGCAATCCACCATTCCGGAGCTAACTGCATATACGCATTATTAAATTCATATATCTGCTATTGTTATTGAATTTCTAATGTTCACCCTGTGAATACTAAACTTATTTTCGTCTCCACATTCTCACGTTTCACTATTTGTGAAAAATATCGGCCACTATGCGAATGTAAGTGAAGTCTCTTCAACTCTTCATGCAAATGGTGAGTTCCTGAATTAATAACTATGACACCCTTCATGATAGGAAACTGAATTTTCAAGACAGCGTTGAGGAGCGAATGATGAATATATTAAAAAATAAATAGGGAATTTCACCGAGTTAATCATGAATAACAGGGTGATCTCAAAAAACACGATTTTTTGTCATTTTCATCATCGAAAATCTTCATGATCACCCTATATATCTCAACGAAATCATGTTCATACGGTATCAGCTATCTTGGGAGGTTAACAATTCACTCGAATATACAGGATGTGTATGAATAAATCGGTCTTAGGTGTCACCAATTTTTCAAATCACCCTGTATGAAATGTATGAATTGTGATTCATGATGGAATGAGAATAGTATATTGCATGCCTAAATTATTTTTTCGATATTTCATTATTACATCGAATTTTCAGACAGCACTGAAATGTTTATATGTTTCACTCTGTAAACAATTACATCATCTGAACCATCTGAATTATGTTGAGTAATATGGAGGTTTGTTAATGATATGAGCGAAGAAAATTGTACTTGGCATCCTTGAATTTCGAGAAAATAATTAAATGAAAAATACCGATTTGTAACTTCAACGCCCTGTATCTCAGAATCTGTTCATCAAAGAACTTAACGATTCTGCAGGTTCAATCAGTTCATCGAATTCTACAACATACTGAAAATTCAGAAAATTTCACCGAGAACCATTTTACGTGCGGGGTCCTTTGAATTTTAACAATGAAACCAGTCAATCTTCAGTTTTTTATGAATTCGCAGTAGTAGGTTGAATATTGTGTAAGTTGGCATTGCATTTAATAATTGATGGACTCCTAGGTTGATCAGACTGGGAAAAACCTCGAAGAAGATAAGAACAACACCGACGAAGAAGAAGATACTGAATTTATCAAAAGACGTGGAAAAAGGCGTAGGAAGAAAGGCTCGGATGCTTCGAAGGGTCCGACTACGTATCAGGCTTCTTTAGACCCGGAAACACAGGTACTGGCCAACTATTTCTATGCCATCCCGTTTTTGAGTTGTCTTCTATTATTCTTGAGTCGAAGAATTTAAACTCATTTGGTATTCCGTAAGAAAATTTCACACCAGATCGTGTTTGGGAGTTAAATCATTTTAGAATGTATGTTCTCATTTATGTTTATTTAGGTTCATAATTCCAGATTTTTTGGGATTTTCTCTCCTCGTTTCTATAAAATAAAAATATGAATATTATTTCAATATACGTGTATAAAGAGTTTCAAAGAAGAGCTGGATATTGGTATTAATTTTACCACCTCGAAACTCGAACTGGGGAGAACGTGTCGTTTTTCAACTTGTTTCTGTGGGGATTTTTACTTCAAGATGAGAATTGTTCACAGTTTTACCTATCGGTTTACTGTTTGAAGACACATATACGAATACTCTCATGAATATGCAGGGGTGAAATAAGTTGCTCCAATGTTCTTTTGGTGAAATGCTATTTTTGTTAATCAACGTTGGCTATTTTGTTTATGTCATTAATTATTGTCAAAGTCAAACGATTCACAATTCATGAATTTGATTGATGAAAATTCAACATGAGAGATTTGACTCCTACTGATGTGGCGAGGGCTGTAGCATCAATTATTGAAAATGACCAGTGGGCCAATGTTCTTTTAACATATGAGAGCCGCATCTGCATCAATTCGATAGATGGCAGGGAAAGACTATATCGCCGAGGTGAACAAAATGAACAATTTGATTTTACTGCGTCTGTCTCCTACGGCAGAGGTTTAGTCATGGTTAGGTTAGATTAGTCAAGAAACGACACATTTTCAGATCCAATTTGAGTTTTGAGGTGTAAAATTGATACCAATATCCACCTTTTCTTTTGAAACTCTGTATTTTCTTGAATAATTGAGATATCAAGATGAATAAAAAACGAAAATATTCGGAATAGATTGGGCTTCAATTTGAAGTTGAGAAATCGTTCCAATTATCAGTGGTTCAGTCCACAGGATGTCTCAAAAAATACCGAAAAATCCGTACTTTCTTTACACCCCTGTATATGATAGAAATACTCATCGTTTGAAGGTAATTATTTCTTAGATGTATTCGTGAAGAATGAAGCTACAATTCGTGAAGAAAAAAATTTGAATCGAGCGATCGGTTCGAAAGAAAATTGATGTCAAACTTGATGTAAATTTTGCCCGTTCCCCTAATTGTGCCAGTGTGTGTATATAAAAAAAATATCAAATTTTCACTTAGCTTTGGACGTTTCGGAAACGAATCTGCTCCCGTTTTCAACATAAAAAAATGGATATTTGAATAGCAAATTCGTATTTGTCTTGACACTTTTCAGTTCTCAGTGACAATTGGTGACGTTGGCATTCAAATGAGTTACAGGATGTGTTCATTAATTAATTTTGATTTTACCATTTTCATTTTCAGATTTCAGTAGTGAATACCATATTCTATCTATATCAACTGAACAGGAAGCAATGCTATATTGTCTCCGTTCAGAAGAATGCAAGCGGATTCCTTGATTTTTCTCTTCTGGTTGTTATCTCCTTTTCCAATGATTCCAATATTATTACATTCTGCATTCTGCCATATGTTGTCCATCTTCGAAACTAGCTGACCATATCCTTACTGAGTAGAAAAGAAGGAAAGAAACATTCCAAAACTGGAATTCCCATACGGGCGTGGCTGGTTGCCCAACTGGCGTAATTTCAACTACGATATAGCCACAATGCTCAGATGGCGTTGCTTCCATATTGTCTATGAAAGACGAATATAATGCCGACTTGATTTTTGTTTGGCTAGGCTACGCTTAGTCGGCGGTCTTAGGGCTGCTGACTGGAGACTGCCCTGCACCGATGAGAGTCAATGAGGTCGAAACCGGTCTGTTGGTGTCTAGCGCCCACTAAGCAAAGTTGAAAGCTATATTTTCATGCAATATTGAAGCAATTACTGAAACGGACGTTCAGCAATATTGCAGAAGTGAAGTTTGATAATGTAGGGTTGCAGCAATATTACATGTTGCTGTGATATTGCTGGAACGTTCCAAACACAATCTGGTGTAGAATTTTCTTACCGAATACCACACGAGGTCAAATTACTTTCCGGGATTTTTTTCTCGTTCATGAATATTTCGAAAATCATCCCTCGTCTTCGTCTCGGAATAATTTTCAAAATATCCATGAGCTCAAAGAAATTTTCGGAAATAATTTGACCTCTAGTGGTATTACAAGTGATAACATACAAGATTCAACTAACACAGTAGAATAAGATCAATTTTGTGTTATAGCCGCTCAACATAAACCTGTCAGGAGTAACCATGCCTCCGTAGACACCCAGTTCGATGCTTGGTAATTAGCAATAACCTTTTCTTAGGAAAATCGCGTGAGACCAATTGCTGAAAGTGCATCCCAAAAACTTGGTTTTCTGTTTCGGGCCAGGAGCTATTTCACTTCCAGTCAGCTGCTTATGATCTATAAGGCACAGATCCGACCTGTACTGAAATACTGTTCCCATATTTGGAGTGCAGCACCCAAACATACCCCGAAACTGTTGGATTCTGTCCAAAAAAGGGCAATTCGTCACGTGGGTGATGCCTCGCTCACAAACTCACTCACTTCTATGGAACACCGTAAAAAAGTTGGCGATCTGGATCTATTTTATAGAAATTTCCATGGACGATGCTCTTCTGAAACATCGACAATTGTTCCCTTGGCAGTCCCCCCCCCCCCGCGAGATTAACCCGTCGAGTTGAGGCTTCGTACCCCTTCGTGGTCACTTTGGACTTTGGAGACCTGCAGAACATCTATTTCCAAAGACTCGTTCATCTAAGCTAAGGCTTTCGATACCGTCAATCACGAGCAGCTATTGGGGGCCTTGGATGATGTAGGAATAAGAGGTGCAACTCTGGAACTAATCGGGAATTACTTAAAAAATAGAATACAGGTAGTTAAGATTGAAGGGAAGTTCAGCAGAGAGAGACTTCTGAATTGTGGCGTGCCTCAGGGTACTGTACTAGGTCCCTTACTATTTTCTATTTATATAAATAGCCTCCTCACTATGAATACAACGGGAAAAGTAATAAGCTTTGCCGATGATACTGCGATTTTGTATACAAGTGATACATGGGTCAATCTGAAAGAGATAGCAGAGAATGATTTAAAAAACATAAATTGGTTCAATCACAAAATTTTGACCATCAACTTTGATAAAACTTTTTTCATGCCGTTCTGCAGTTATAGAAATGGTCTACCCAACTTCAATACTCTCCAGATTCAAAATGATGAAGAAACGTTTGAGATAAAATCAACAACTAAAATAAAATATCTAGGCATCACGATCGATCCCCATCTGAGATGGGACAGTCATATTTCAAATGTGGCAAATACGCTGAGAAGTCTTTTACCGAAATTTAAATACCTCAGATCAATACTGGATATCACTGACCTCAAAACTATTTATTTTTCACTAGTCGAGTCACGCCTGCAGTATGCAATATTGAGCTGGGGAGGAGCTCTATGCACACATCTGAGAAAGCTAGACATTACACAAAAAAAAATTCTGAAGATGATGTACAAGAAAAAGTATACTTACTCATCCGATCAGCTATTTTCTGAACTCAGGATCCTAGATATTAGGCAGCTATACTTTTATCACAGTTTAATATTCCTATATAAAAACAGAATTGACCTTAAAATAATTGACCACACTTACACTACACGTAATAAAACAAAAAATCAGATACAAACTCCCTTTTTCAAAAAATCTATAGGCCACAGATGTCACCTTCATCTGTCCCAAAAAATTTACAATACTTTGCCTGGCATATATAAAACATATTTAGCAAAAATCAATTCAACCCAACTCATCTAAAAACTTTCTAAAAACTACTTATTTTCTATTGATAGAAATCAAATCCACAGTATATTCGACAATACCTAGGTCATATAATATGAATATTTGATGTCTTTCCTTAATTTTCTCAATCGGAAATATTATTTAATACATTTGTTAGTTATTATTTGTTATTTTTATTATTACTGTTATTTCATATAATTCATTCCTATTACTATTATATATAATCGTAATTACTATTCACCTATTTTTGATTTTTGATATACAGATACATAAAAAAAACCAAATGATTGAAATTGAAACATGCCTCGTTTATACTCATTGGTAAATTGAAAGATTGACCCATGCTCGACCTGATCAGGTTCTAATGGGATTTTCAAGTTTATTCAAATTTGTTCAATTTTTTAATTATTGTGATTGTATATTATTAATTATTGAGATTGTATATTATATTAATTATTGTGATTGTATATTATGATTATCACTATTATTATTATTACAATTATTATTGTTATTATTGCCTACAACTATATTACTTAACATTGAATAAACTTATTATTATTATTATTATTATTATCCAACGAACAGCGAGGCTCTGGAACACATTGCCATGGGAGGTGTTTCCCGAGGCATATAACCTCCAGAAATTTAAGAAGAACACCAACTCCTACCTTATTTCTCTTGGTTCTCACGATGTTTCCTGAACATAACAGGATATTCCTCTTCGTGGGAACCTGAACCGAAAAAAAGTATAAAAAAACATGTTTTAGGTTGGTACTATCGGTCCGGAATCTCGCAACCCCAGTGCCAGGCATTCGATGACACCCGAACATTTCTCGGGGGTGGAAAACGCTTGCGAAGAGATGAAAAAGAAGGGTGTTCCGGCCAGGATGTCTTCCGCTTCGGACGTGCAATCTTACTTGGACGCCGACATATTGAAACTTCTCAGGAGGGAGTTGAACGAGAGAGTTGTCGATTCAGAGCTCGATTACAAGGTAGTTAATGGCCGGGAATGGCGCAGTGGAAGAGCGTCCGCAAGGTCGTGGGTTCGATTCCCAGCACAAGCAAGGAACTTTTTTCAATATTTTATTTTCGAATCAAATATTGTAAAGTTTCGGAGCATCGGCTGGGGATAGTCCTTCACGATTCGCTGTTGCGTTCCAATTAACAGTGCTGCTCCTAAAGTGGCGCATGGAGTTAGTAACAAAGTCTACACAGAACACGCAGAAAGGGATGATGATGTGGTTGTGAGTATCAGAGAAGAAGTAGGACGGTGTATGTAGGTGGGTGTGGAAAACTAGAGTTCCTAAATGTACTTGACACTGCCGTTTTGACGTTTTTGTATATTAGAGTAAGGACACTAGACAAGCAGTGACAATCAAACATAACCACAATGACAAGAATATGTTTTTCGCTTAGATAAAGGATCCTCGCATAATATTCCTTCCTCCACAAGTCCTGGGAAGAAGTTGGTATGTACATATATACCAACGAAATACATATACAGCGATGGTAATTCGTATTGAAATTTCAATAAATTATTTGATCACCAACAGTTTTTCCAAACTCTTTGCATCCCATCTGTTACCATTAAATTTTGAATTTTGAGATGAATCATGCTCATATAAAGTTGCAGTTTTACTGATATTATTCAATTTGTTATTCAAAACTTCCATTCGGTTTTTCAAATGCAAAAGTTTTCATAGTATTGTTCATCGAAACTATGAATTTTGCTCAAAATTGCCTGGATATTTGCTTGTTCAATTTTCTTGTATTTCTCGGAAGATATTTGCTGATTTTGTTTCAAATTTGAAATAATTTTTAGGTAATACTTCTGAATTTTGCTTACTCTGACTTTTGTATCTAAATCTTTTTGCTTCAACTTATTTTCTAACTCTCCATTGTTTTCTTCTATTTGTTTCCTGAATTCCTCACTCTCTTCCACTCGTTAACCTTGGATTCTTGAATATTCCTGCTCTAAAATTTCGATTCTCAAGTATTTTTCTTTCAAAATATGTTCGAAATGAATTTCATTATCTGCAAGTTTTTCGTTGCTTGTTGGTTCTAAATTGGAATAAGGTTCTTTTCGATACTCGCTCAATTTATAAATTGTGGGTTCGGCTCTTTCTCTCAATACGATCCTATTCTTCAACATCAAATCTTCCGTTCTGAAGTGTACCTGATAAAAATGCGTTGAAAAATGTTCTATATCCTACCAAGGAATTTGAATACTTTGCAAATTTTGTGGCCTGAATCTATATTCCATGCCGGCCGCATCATATTCTGTTTCCATTTTTGTAGAATCACGTTATCCGATGGACATTCGAATGAAGTGAATTGATTTCCCGTGTTGTCATAGTTGGATACTGCACAAACTTGTATCTTTCTCCTAATTCTCTCAATTTGTCAGACCTTTGAAATTTATGTCATGTACGTCCGTGTACTGTCACTTTCTGCTTTTTCCATACAATTCATTTATGGTTATGTCTGATTGTTAGTGCTTGTCATAGTGTCCGTACTCTAATATAAAAAATACGTCAATACGTCAAAATAAAACGTCAAACAAAACAGTACATTTAGGAACTCTAGTCTGCCCCTACTCACGAAATCGTGACGTCAGTTTTAACTCGCGGTAAAATTCTATCCGTTTGAAAATTACCGTGGCATTATTGATGATTTTAGCACCTAAAAACCGACCGAAAAATTCTACTTAAGTGATGATTGTATTTGAGGAATAAAAAAAATTAGTCCACTCGCCTATACCGCACTTAGTGAGTTGAGAACTGTTCACAAAACGCCAGTACCATTGAGAAACTTTGCAAGTGCAGTCAATTTTTATTCAACATGATTTTTATTTTGCAAAAGAGAGCAGTGCGATACATGTGTAAGGCAAAAATCCGAGATTCCTGTAAGCCATTATTCATTGATAATAAGATCTTACCACTACCTTGTATTCAAATTTTGGAAACAGTGTGTCTTATTCATAGTAAATGTAAATATAATAATGAAAGAATGTCACACTATAACACAAGACAAATACAAAATATAACAGTTCCATTACCGTCTACTACATTCATTAAAAACTCTTTCATTTATAATGGAAAAAAACTATATAATCATTTACCAAACGAGATTAAAGGCATATGTGACAAAAAAAATTCAGAATGACCGTTAGAAATTTTCTAATAAAGAAAGCCTACTACTCTATAGAAGAATTTTATTCAGACAAATTTTAATCTGTTTTTCCACTACATTTGATAGTCTGGAAGTTGCTACTGGCCCTCCTGATATCGAAAATGCTATGTATATGTGAGTATGTTTATATATATATACTATTGTAACAATCGTTAATGTGTTTCTTGCAAATGTGTTTTTGTTTTATTTTATGAGTGATATACTATGTGAATATGGAATTGTTGTCATATTATGTTTTACCCGAGATTTTACCCTTTAGGTACTTTACTTCTTAGGTTTTATTCTTCATGATGACTTTGTCAATAAGAATTATTTTCTTCAGACAATAAAGTATTTTTTGATTTGATTTGAATACCCGAGTGAATTTCTGAGTCAATTGATTTTCCAGAGACGGAAAGCCTTGGAAGAAGCGCTGAGAACCCTCGTGAAGGGAAGACCCGTGTGCGATGAGCTGCTGAAATTGCAAAAGGAACTGAGAATCCCACCGGTGAATGCGAACCTTTGGATATCGTTACCTAGAACGTTCACTAGATCCAGCGCCATATTTCAGCTGCCCATGGACAGTAGAACGCTCAGTAGTACGTTCCAATTACTCAAATATTACTTCTTTTTAAATTTGGCGTGATACTGAGGGCATTGTCGTTCTAAATTAAAACCTGGTAGGCTGTTCATTGAAAAAAATATGCAAAAATGGATCTTATCGACGATATTTTCAGTAAGCTAGTGACCTCTATGACGAACTTATAAGGAATTCCATCGGCAGGAACTGGTGGAGTGTTTCTACACTCAATGTATAGGTTTCCTTCTTACTCGCATGTGTTAAACAGAGATGAATATACACTCAGTGGAGAAACACTCGGCGCGTATAGGTATGTTTTTTTTTCTAGGGGGGTACTCAGTAGCGGAAATTAAATTATAATTTGGGGGTTGCCTAGTAGTACAACGCGTTTCAGTGTATAATAAATCAACACAAAATGGTGGTTTATTAGCTTCAACTTTTATTGAAGCTGTTTTTATATCTTAGAATATTCAAAATTACCAAAATAACAATTATCAGTCATTCAAATGAACAAATCAAGATAAATATTCTCGATGAAAACATATTTTATATGCGTATTATATGAACTAGATGAAAAAAAAAGAAATAATCTCTCAATTTCACCATAGATAAATAAAGTAGGTAACTTTATCATTCAAGACTCTTGATTGAATGTAATTAACAAAATATCAGGTACCCCCGTGACTAGATTATAAAACGAAACAAGTCTTTCACATTGCTTTGAAAACCTCGAGCAAAACCTATCGAGAACAGCATCTATATCTATTTCAATATTTCAATGAATATTTAATTATAAGTAAATCCGACTAGCCTGACCCATTGTACACCTCAACCATGATTTCAGTGTCTTACTTAAGTGTATAGAAAATGATCTTTCAGCACTCGCCACACTCACCGGCATAACAGATTTTATCTGCAGGAGTGTATAAATAGTGGAAAATATTTCGATATTGTAATGCTGTGAAGTATTTAAGGCTGTTTCTTTGGGTGAATTATTATAGGTTTATTTTTGGTTTCTTCCCATTCATTTTCCCAAAGATCTATTTCTGATTGCAACAAATTTTCTAACATATTCAGAAACTTGTTTTACTAAAATCTTTTATTCACTGGTATCAGGCATCAACCTGTTGATATACAGGGTGGCCCACGAGGTTTTGGCCAGTCGATATCTCGAAAACTATTTGAACTACAATTTTGAATTTTTGTGGTCTCGAATAATGGAATGCGGTGACCATTTTTGGTATAAGAGGGTTTTATTGCAACATCGCATTTCCAATCACGTGATATCAACTTCAAAATTTTAAATGGAACACCCTGTATATTATTGCATTTTTGTGAAGACCTTTCTAATGCAAATACTACGATACCATCATTGTCAGGGTTTTCATGTGAAACAGTGACAATATGAGCTGTCAAATAAATGGAAAATGGAAAATTTATTAAAGAACAACAGTATAATTAGGAAACGAAACAAAATAAGTAGAAAAAGCATTACAGTTGATGCTCAAATTGATCCATCTTCAGTAACGCAATGCTCAAATCTTGTTAAAAGATTTCTAGTGCATGCTGCTCTAATCATTTCAGGTGTAACAGTTTGGCACGATGCTCTGATTTTGTTTTGCAAATCATCTAAATTTGTAGGCTTTGTAGAATAAACCAAACCTTTCTAATATGCCCAGAGGAAAAAGTCTAAAGGTGTCATATCTGGGAAACCCAAAAATTCAAAATTGTAGTTCAAATAGTTTTCGAGATATCGACTGGCCAAAACCTCGTGGGCCACCCTGTATAACATTGAATTCATTATTAATAATTATTGTTTCTAAGTCTTTTACTGTTTTACTATTTTTATGCTTTCAGGGGGGGGTACTGTCCCCCCTTATCTACGCTGGTGTAGGAATTCGCTATTTTAGTTATCTTAACCCTAGACATTTTTTGTATTCCTGTTGGGATTCACTTTTTTGTCATGTTCGTGAACAAAAATGCTTCCTGTTGAAACACTTCAAGTAATGAACATTGTACATACTGGGTGACAACGAAAGAAATCATTTTAGCATGAAGTAATGATGGTTACAAAAATAACTAAAAGACAATCAGTTTAGATAAGGGGGAGAGGGTATAATAGGGGTTGGTTGTTTCTGACCCTGAGTACTTTTTTATTGTAAAAACTCCACAAACGATAAGATTTCCTCAAAACATATGTTCCGCTAAACACAGCTTCGTCAGGTGATATACACTTGGTACAATAAACCAACCGTGGCTTGCTTAACTTTTATAAATCCTACTTTCCCAACTTGAAGGATTAGTTACCTGTGGACATCAGGTTCGATAAACCTTCATTTTCGAAATTAGGCACAATATATCTACATTAAAATACGGTGTAACGGACAAACTTGAAAGGGTTGATAGCAAATACATATTATTACCTACTAAGAAAACAGATTCAACAGTGGTGAACTATTGAATTATAATTGATCGTTGAGTAAAATGTCAAAATGTTTGATATTGTCAATTTCTGATGATTTGAAATGATTGATAGTTTCATTCCTTCATTTTCTACGTGTAGAATGTCGAAATTATCATCAAAACTATGGTTTTTTTTCTAATTCATGGTTGGCGTATAGTTTTCTTTTTCAGAAAATTCATCTTATGTTCATGAATGCGCTGATTAAACGTACGACCTGTCTGACCGATATATACCTTAGGACAAGATTCACAGTTGAGTTTGTATACCCCTGATTTTTAGAATTCAGAAGATTTGTGTTCATTATTTCTTGATAAACCTTCCCACAAACTCAAAAATTCTGACATTTTACGTTAACATCAATTAGACCTCAACAGCTCACGACGGTTATACTTGTTTTCTTAGTAGGTGATGATATATGTATTTGCTATCAACCCTCTATCAAGTTAACGACTGGATTAACTTTTATTTTGATGTAGATATTGTGTCTAATTTCCGAAAATGAAGTTTTATCGAACCTGTCCACAGGTAACTAATCCTTCAAGTTGGAAAAGTAGGATGTATTAAAGTTGAGCAAGCCAAGGTTGGTTCAGTTCATTGTACCAGTATATCTTTTTCCCGTGGAAAAAAAGTGAGTTAGTTTTTCCCGGATATATATCACACATATATATACGACATTGTTGATGGCTTTTGTTGTGCTATAGTTCCTAAAAATGAGTCAATAATACCGTCTCCGAGAAAGAACTGCAAGTCCTTTTATCTTCTATTGGACTTCGCGGTTATGTATATTACTAAACAACCACTAAATTCGCAATTTTTCGAAATCGAATAACAGAATTAGACTGACAGAAGTGACATCAGTTATTTGATTACTTCAAAAGAATGATAAAGATGCCTACAACGCAGGTGTCCCTCATGTTAAAAACTTGAAATTTCACGTCGATAATTTTCAGATTTCAAAATAATGTAATATCTTCTCAATATTGATTTGTCCTTTCTTCTGTCACAGAAAAAAATAGTGTATTATACACGGAAAAAATATTAGATTTTAGCTCACGGTTTTTTCCCTTGTACAATAAATAACTATTTTTATTCGATTGTTGCAGCGTTGACTCCTATAGAATACTTAAGGGATAATGTTCAGATAACATCTGCTAGAAAACTTTTGTATAATTGCATTTTCGACCAATGGAAAATGGAAATGGAAGACGATGTGGATTATGAACGGCAAATTCTGGGAAAGGTGAGATTTTTTTACTAGTGAGTCTTTCCAACTCTCAACAATAACTTTATAGGTTGATTTATTCTAAGTTAATGAACATAGTTAGAGACCTAGATGTAGAAATTATCCACTTAATCATTGCATAAATAGGTTCTTCACCAACCTTGGGAAAAATACAGTAGGGTGCGCTGCATTATGCCCACATTTCGTTACTTCCACACATCACGTTGTTCCCACATTTTGATAGGCCCACATTTCGTTAGCCCCACATTTCGATATTCCCATCACAGTCTCCGAACATACCCTAAGGAAGCACTGTTGCCAAATTCGATCATACCAGAATTCATTGAAACTGTCATTGTTGGGCTTGGGCTGAATTAGGTGAATACCTAGAAGTCTATACGGACGGATGGTATATCAGTGTCATACATTTGTGCTCTTCGGAAGCAGGGCCATATAATTTCTGTAATATGTAGAATGACGTCACATATTATTCCCAAGTTGCTCTCAACGAGCCCTTTCATTTGATACCCACCCAGCAAACACAGATACATCACAGAGATATCGCAGCCCTGTAACAATGGTGACCTGCGAAATCGCATTCTATGTCGCATAGACGTCGCTGCGATTTCAGGGGGATGTTATTTTGTCCCACTCAAGTTTCATTCATGCAACGTCCCTGCGATAAACAGCGATATATTTTTTACAATGTAATTGCGATATGTTATTTGTGATGGCAAAGCGAAGTGTTTTTGCGATAAATCTACCATGTGATGCGATATAACATCGCAGGGATGTATACATATGACATCGCAGGGATGTATACATATGACATTGCAGGGATGTATACATATGACATGGCAGGGATGTAAACCTATGACATTACAGCGATGTACATTTGTTACGCAGAGGTGAGGTAATATGTAGGAAAAAATGTCAGGGAAGAAAAATCTGATAAAAAAATGTAAATAATCATTCATTTTCAATATACAATGAACAAAACAAAATATGGGATGTGATTCTCCAACAAAAAATATAAAAGACATCACATTTGGACAACATTTGTGATATCGCACTGTTATCTAGACGCGACATCTCAGAGATGTCATGTCACAGATGTGTTAACTGGGATATTGTAGAAGTTAATTGAAACCTAACTATTCCGTCATCTTGGATAGTCCGCCATATTGGATTTAGAATGACGTCACATTATTTTACGAGTGACTCTCAACAAATCCTTCAATTTTATACCCATATTGTGAAATTGCATTAAAAATAACTATTACGCCGTCCTGGATGGTCCGCCATATTGGATGTGAAACGACGTCACATGCATTATTTTTCGAGTTACTCTCAACGAGTCCTTTCATTTGATACCGATGTTGTAGAGGTGCATTAGAATTAACCATTACGCTATCTTGGATATGGTCCGCCATTTGAATTCAGAATGAAACGTGTGTACAAAATTTCAGCTCAATCTGTTGAAGATATCTACTTCCAAATTGAGTTCAAAGATTCCACCCGAACTAACGTACATATACATCCATCCATACATGCATTCATCCATATATACATTCATACATACATACATAGCAAGTTGAATAAGCGCTTTTAATACAAAAGCACTGCATATTCGCCGAAAACATTTTTGACCAACTCGTATGACGATTAACACACTATAGTTGTTTGAATATCTATTTCCTTCTTTTCTTCCAGGAATTACAGTCGTGCCTGAATTTGGTGATGGGCAAACTTCTCACTTGCGAACAATACGAATATTTCAAAAAAATTGTGAACGTGCAAGACACCGAAATATTACATTTCAAAGAGTGCTGTGGCATTTTCGCGCTCTGCGAAAGGCTGTTGGCCCCTCAGTTTTGCCCGCAACTGCCTGACAGGAAATCCGATCCTTGTCATGAGGTAAAGACTCGGGTGAAGACTCCATTTATTCATCCATTTCTGTCGAATGTATCACGTGATGTATTTGTCACCAAGGAATACAATACAAGTTGTATTAATCAGTTCCAAACATGGTTTTCAAACTTGAGTTGACACTATTGTTAACTCTTGGTTATTATTGGAGTTACAACGTCAGTTAGATGGGCCAAATAGTAGTATTTTTTCCGCTGATTACGATGATGAAAATGAAACAAAAATCTAACATCAAGTTTACGAGTTATGTCAAAAAGTTTTAAACGGGACACCCCAGAATATTCAATATTCTTAATCGATAGGGAATTTCATTCAACAACTAGAACTGTCTTATAAACTTTTATCGAAAATTAATAAATGACTAATCTACCGTTAAGTAATACCTCGACCATCCTTGACACAATCACTTTGACGAATTTGAAAAACTGTTGTTAGTCATTTTCGAATTTACGCTGAAAGATCATGACATATTTTTTGTTCAGAATCGAATTTCCTACCGATTAAGAATATGGTAGGTATACTAGGTGTCCCATTTGAAAGAAATTATCGAAACTTGCCTTTTGACATAACTCGTGAACGCGATGTACAATTTCATCATTGTAATTAGCAGAAAAATAGTTATTTATTATACAAGGAAAAAAAGTAGTAGATTTTAGCTCTTGGTTGTGTTGTCCGCTACGCGTCGGGAAACAAAAAACCGTGAGCTAAAATCTAATACTTTTCCCGTGTATAATACACTATTTTTTTCTGTGACAGAAGAAAGGACGAATCAATATTGAGAAGATAGAACATTATTTTGAAATCTGAAAATTATCGAAGTTTTTAACAGTAGGGACACCTGCGTTGTCGGCATCTTTATCATTCTTTTTAAGGAAACAAATATCTGATGTCACTTCTGTCAGTCTAATTCTGTGATTTGATTGCAAAAAATTGCGAATTTAGTGATCGTTTAGTAATATACGTAACCGCGAAGTCGAATGGAAGATAAAAGAGGACTTTCAGTTCTTTCTCGGAGACGGTATTATTGACTCATTTTTCGGAACTATAGCACAGCAAAAGCCATCAACAGTGTATATATACGTGATATGTATCCGGGAAAAAAGTTCTCACTTTTTTCCCACGGGAAAAAAGTAATTCATGGAAAGCGACATTTTATAACCTGCCAACAGAGATGAAATGCCAAACATTTTTCCCGTCACAGAAAAAATACTATACTATAGTTTTGTCCATTTCACTGACTTTGTAACTTCAATAATAACCAAGTTAGCAATAGTGCCGACCCTGTATATATGTAGCAAAATTCAGTATCAAGATTTCAGACGCTTGTTTTTCAGATAAAAATAAGACTTTTTTTCCTATAAACATGTGTCTGCAAACGCTTCATTACCGATTTACCTCGCAATTCACAGAGCGTACAAATTTCAAGATTTTTTTCATTTTTCCTTTAGCTCTATTAGTTCTCAAGATGTTTTCGAGAGTCATATCAAATTCTAAACATTGGTTACTTCTCAGAATCTACAGGGAGATATTCTTTCAAGGGTTCATAAGCCCTTCGCGGTCCATAAACTTTTTTATGGTGTACCATTGGTAGATTTTGAAATAAAAATTGTTCTTTGTTTTGTTCATAAAATAAAATGCATTGTCTCTCGTAATTTCTGCGACCGTTATCAAGAAAAATATATTTTATTGTAGTACGCTATACAGTAGGGTGTTTCAAAAAAACCTAACCTCCTTACTAGGGTAGGTAAAACATTGCAAAAGTTGGGTTTGCTTTGTGAAAAAATGTCGTAACGGCATCCGTTTTCATGATACAAGGTGTTGAAACAATTATTTTTTTACACATTTATCACGATTATTCCGAAACTATATACTGGCAACATTGTGATAAAATTTCGTATGGATGTTTCTTGAAATCTGACACATAGCATGGATTCGTTTTTATATCTGACTCTCATAGAGGGCGCTAGTTACACGATTTGTACCGGGTAGTTTTGAACATAACTTTTTTGAGGTTAAATTTTTCAATCCAAATATGATATGAACTTGAACATCATTCAATTTTACACCAAAAAGGTACTCCTGGTGAAATTCGATACTATATGTTCCGCTTTCGGAATATTTCGATTTGAAAATAATGAGGTAGTAATGATGTCTCACAACTCTTGACGTGAATTTACCTATGTAGCATAGACTTGCTGCTCAAGATACAATAAAACTGTGTAATCCAAGTTCTTAGTTAAATCTATTTCGATGTTATTCTTGTGATTCATGGTTAAATCAATGAGTTTTGCATCAGAAATATATTGTTGTTTTCGGTTTTCAATAAATACGTGATAATTTTTCAGCAACAGTTACCACTTCATCATTTTCAAATCGAAATATTCCTAAAACGGAACACAGTATCGAGTTTTACCAAGAGTACCTTTTTGGTGTGGAATTGAATGATGTTCAAGTTCACATCAAATTTGGATTGAAAAATCTAACCTCGAAATAGTAATACATACCTTGTATCTTGAAAACCGATGGCGTTACAAAATTTTTTTACTGAGCATATCCAACTTATTTTACAATGTTCTACCTACCCTAGCAAGGGGGTTAGGTTTTTTTGAAACACCCTGTAGATGTAATTAATATTTTTAACAAAAACGAGGAACCTATTATCACAATTGAAACAGAAAAACTATATAACGAAGCTTGACTTTTTATTAAAGATGTTGGAATGTAAAAAAATTCTTGAAACTTCAACGCCCTGTGTAACGAAGCTTTTGCGGAAACGTCTTATTTTGACCCAAAAAACTCGCCAAAAAATAACAAAATAAGTCACTGAAATCTCGACCAAGAATTTTGAAACACCCTGTACAATTTTACTCAATACTTTTTTTTCTCTTCTAGATAGAGAATGCAGATTTCGCGATGTTGCAAAGAAAACTAGATGGACGACAGATCAGTGAGAATTTAAAAGAAATTTTGCTGTTGATTAAAAGTTTGTGAGTCAATCCTGATTGCCAAAGTTTTTATTTCCCATTTCTCCTTACTATAACCATAGACTACAGAAGATGAACTATTTTAGTAATCTTTGCTATAACCCGAGCTATAACCTATGTTGTCTTGTAATTCTTATAAAAAAATATAATTACTTTTTGTAACTCGCTAGAATTTATTAAAATCTTTCACAAAAATTTAATATGTAGCGAAAATAAAGAGCTATACCTACAACCACAAAAAAATTTCCTGTAGTTTCATAAAATCGCCTGAAATAACTGTATAATGTAAACTTTGAAACATATAAATAACCTATGTTTCAAGTTTGATCCGAATATCTCGAAAACTGAAAGAGCTTTGAAGAAAAAAATTAGAAAAATCTTGAAAACGCCAACGCTCTGTAGATCAGTAACGAAGTGTTCGCGGACACAAGTTTATTGAAGAAAAAAATATTATTTCCATCTGAAAATTATAAGCCCCTGGAATATTGATACTCACTAAGCAAAGTAATATCTCAACAATATTGAAGCAGTAATAAGTATGTCAATGTAATGTTACAAGAGGTATTGTCGCTATCTACTGCAAGGTAGCAGCAACTACTGAAACGGGCGTTCAGCAATTGAGGATCATTTTCATTTGAACTTGAAAAAAAAAGATTCTTTTTGAGTGTGAGTCTTATTTTACTGTCTTTCTTTATTTTATTTTGTCAAATATATTTATGTATTCACTATGTTCCCTGCTATAAACAAATGTTGTTTCTTGGGAATAATAAAGTTGATTGATTGAATATTATGAATGTTCCAGCAAAGTTATTGTAATATTGTGTATGAAGTACAGTAACATTTCATATTCAATGAACAAATGTAATCTTATTGTAATATTTTATTAAGGTTACTGGCAACATGAAATAAAAAATAAGTATAGGAAAATTACATAGTTTTTGTTATACATTTGTGACGGATCTTTATCTCAGGTCGCAGTTTGGGGTTCTGGCTGTCTCGGATTCAGTGCCCAAGAAATGAAATCCCAAAGATTTGAGGTGATGCTGCACTGAGGGAAAAAAATTGTAGCCGTTACTAAAAAATTAGTAACTACAGAAAAATTGTTTAGTACGATAGGGGACAGCAAGCATTAGTTGTTGCCATAACTAATTCTGTTTTTCTGGAAACGCCTATTTGCCTCAAATGAAAAGTTTAGTTGAGTCATCTACGACGTTGTTGTGGTAACTAATAAGCCTTTTCAAGGAATAATACCAAGTTTTATTTGCCACAATCAAGATACATAGTTATGACAATTAGATTGTTAGTACTGTTTCAATATATGTTTGTTATCACAACAAATTATCCCAGTTGGGGCAATTACTCATTTCTTCTGACGTTAATAGTGAGTGTGTTGTTGCAAATTAAATATTTAATTGTGACTGAAATGGAATCTAGTTACTATTAAAAGTGATTTAGTAACGTTTGACCGACTTTGCGTTTATGTTTTTTCTTTGATATAATTTAGTTATTCTGGCAACTTAATAGTTTTATATCAATTAAATTCAAGGCCCCATTCTGATAATAACAGTTTGTATGCCATTTTCCTTTCAATTTCCAATGGAATCGTGAACAGGAATACACCACACACCGTAAGTGCCACAGGCCACAGCTCAGCAAAAAGAGAGGGAATCATAAACTTACACCGTGTACACGTGACGTCGGTTGGACGTTTCTCACCGTCTCCTGTCGAAAACTGAACTGAATTGTGAATAGGTACCTAAACCTGATAACTAGTGACGCACAGATAACGATGATAAACTGCGAATTATTATTTTGCCAACCAAATGCCAAATGGCTCAGCGCGAAGTGCAAAAAAACACAAAACAAAACAGTGATTTGAAAACACACAGAGCAGTGAACCAGCAAGAACACGACGCTCCCGGCTACACTAGACAATTATTTTATTTATTTTGTCTAAGCTCGACGACCGTGCGATCTATCCACTATTAAGATACAAGTTCAAATGATGAAACAGAAAGACAAACAGATGCAAGATGCAAGATTGCCGGTGGGTCCCGAAGAGACGCGAGGCAGTCCCGAACGACGCAGTACAACTAAAATTATTAGTTATGGCTAAACAATTTCTGCTATGAATAATAATAAACCTTTTACGATAAATGTGTCATCAGTTGTGGCAAATAGTCAGCTGTTGTTAGTAACCCCAGAATGAGGTTTTTTAACCCCAGTATGAGATTTTAATTGACTGAATAGACAACACTGTGATAATTCTGTCACAAATAGTATTTTTATTGATGACAAATAATTGGCGAAAAATAGAAAAGTCATTTGTAGGAAATAAGGATACGTTGTCATTGTTAATAAAATTTCAAATATTTTTAATTATCGGTACTAAAAAAATACCAACTAGACGTTTTAATTAACCAGTTTTTCTCAGTGTGACTAGACTTATTTATTTTCACAATAAATCTGAAATTTGACGTATATATCAGTATCACACTAATATATAAGTTATTGATGACTAAAAATTTGAAAACACATTGAAAAGTAACATCAGTTACTTGCATTTCTTTCACATAGCGAACAGATGAATTTTTGTGTTGCACACAGACCCAAAAGGTTCAAAACCATCAATTATTGCAAAAACTAGCTTACGTTTTGCCATAACATTGTTTCTCGAAAAAATGTTTTTACATAAATATTTATCAAAAAGAACTTTCATTATTTTATTTTTACTTCTTTTTAGTTCGGCTATCCATGAATACTGGATTCTTTAGTTTTTCAAACTATTCTACTTATTCTCTACTTCTTTTTAGTTGAGCACTCGCTATATATCTCTTAATTTTTTCATTTATTTATTACTCACTTCTTTTTAGTTTGATTATCTATAAAAACGTGTTTCATTAGTTTTTCAAACTACTATTTATTACAATAGCTGATGCTGATACCTGGCACACGTTGTTTTGCTATATAAATTTTCTTCTAGAAAATATTATTTTAGTTAAATATTCATCAACACACTTTTATTATTTTGTTTTGATATATCCATGAAATCGTGTTTCATTAGTATTTCAAACTACTATTTTTATTTTCTACTTCTTTTTAGTTCAACAATTCATCTCGTTTTTTAAACTATACTATCAATTTTCTACTTCTATTCTCAGTTTGGCCTCGAGTTTGTTAATCTATAAGAGCGTGTTCCATTATAGTTTTTCAAACTACACAAAAGCTCGCTATTATACCATATTGGATCCGCCATCTGGAATTTCTCAATTTTAAAGAATAAAATCATAATCTCCGACCCCGAAAACCCCCAGATACAGATTTTGAATAGAATCGGATCATATAATTACAAAACTCGTCCGCCATTCTGGATCCTCGCCATCTTTAATTTCCTAGTTTTGATGAAATAATCATAATCTCCGTCCCGAGAATCACCCAGATACAAATTTTGAATGGAATCGGATCATATATAGTTACAAAACTCGTCCGCCATATTGGATCCGCCGTCTTGAATTTCCAAATTTTGACAAAAGAATCATTATCTCCGACCCCGAAAACCCCCCGATACCAATTTTGAATAGAATCTGACCATAATTACAAAACTCGTCCGCCATATTGGATCCGCCATTTTGAATTTCCTAATTTTATCATGATCTCTGACCTCGAAAACCCCCAGATACCAATTTTGGATGGAATCTGGCCATGATTACAAAACTCGTCCGCCATATTGGATCCGCCATCTTGGATCCGCCATCTCGAATTTTCGATTCAAAAAATAAATAACGACCGATACTCATACCTACCGAATACGCACAAACAATTTCATACGAATCGGTCGAGCCGTTTCGGAGGACCCATGACTGGGACAGGAGAATTCGCACGCACGTTAAAATATCTCGATCATTAATCGCCCTCATTAATACACTAGTTGGTTAAATAACTATAAATCGTGAAATACGGAATATTTACATAATTTACATAAAGACAAGTGACGTTTGCCAGAGTGCATATCATAATGGAGCGCTGAAAGATGGTCGTGCTACAAATTATACATAACAGCGACTTTCTAATGAATTGAATTATTCATGAAACAAGGGAAATTTCAGATCCAGGTCCTCAACTACCAGATGACACCATTTGTTTTTAAAAAATCGCCAAAATGAACACAACACATGCCATATTTTGTCACAAAACGAAAACTTAAACCACCAATTCTAGTGTGAAATACACTAAGTTGGCAACACTGATTTGATAAGATGAAAACGTCCAATCGTCTCTTTAATGATGGAACAATAATAACTTATTGTTGAGAAGAAGAAGAGAAGGCCGTATTGTTTGTTATAATGTCTACAACAAGCAAACAAAATTGTTGAAGAGAAGAAGAAGAACAGAAATGATATGACGGTTGACGATGATGTTTTTCTCATGTCAATATAGTCAAAGTTGAGTCAAAGTCATTCTGACATCTTGTTATCGTATCGTGTGCTTTCACATTTTTGGTACTGGTACAGTGGCAGTGGTACATTTTTGTATTCTCTTCAGTTGAGTGGATTGATGGCAGTTTTGTTGAAAAATATAGAGTTATTTGAATATCTCGAACAATAGTTGGTGAGTACTTGCCATCAAATTATATTCTACATTCATGGTTTATTTTTGAATGAAGGTTTTTATAAATTTTACTCTTTATGACGTTGAAAGATCATCCTAATAATAGTTTTTAAATAACACAAAGTATATCAGAATATTTGATAGATATTTTCCAGTCTTATTGCAGAAACTGTCGTCAAATGTTCAATGTTTACAAGACATATTTGTTGGTGTAACTTTTAGTTTCAATTAAAAAAAAAATTGAGGTTAAAATTCAACATGTCTCAAAAAGGATATTTATTTTCATGCTTTGTTTCATTCAGATACCTAATTTCGAATTATTTGTACAATGCCTACCTTAGGGCTCTACATTATGAGCACCTATTTGAAAAAAATGAGAGGGCTGTGTCAAAAAGTGTTTTTTACTGTTGAATAATTTTGTCTGAATTAAATACTAAACATCCTATAGCCACTTTATCATGTTTTCTTGATTACCATGACTGGAATTACTAATAATATTGTGACAAAAATAAATGCACAGTGTCATTCAAAACATGATAGGTATTTTTCAAAAATTTATTTA